TATCAGCCCTGGAGCCCCTAACAAAGGTATTTGGCTAGGCTTCTTAAATAGGTTGCCTTGATTAATTATCCCCAAACCTTGGGAGGACTAATGGTAGCTAACACATATACAGCTGGGCACTAATCTGATATTTACATACATTAACCAATTTCATACTCATAAGATCTCCATTTTACATAAGAAATGGGCACAGAAGGACAGGCTCAAGTTCACATAGCTGGAAAGTGGCAAATCTGGGCTTGCAATCTGACCCCAGAATTGTGATCTTAACCTCTACAGGCACTGCCTCTCAGGAAGCAGCTGTTTAATCCTTGGTTTATGAATAAGTAAAATTTCCCAAGTTCACATCAATAGTGAGAAAAAGCAGGATAAGAATTCAGACCTAATGCCAATATCTGTGCTTTTTCTCCTGCCCACACCACAGAAGTATAGTGTATTCTGGGAGTAGAGACAGGCAGAGTTAGGAATGAGCACCCAAGGCAAGATTCAAGGAAGGAGATGTCTGTGGGGAAGGTTCAAGTATTTAACAAGATGGAGCTCTGGATATGAGATATCTGTCTATCACCATCTACTTCCACCACATTTAGAAATGCAACATCCTTGGGATAGCAGCAGCAGCTCCATGCCTCAGTCTCAGAGCTGATGGAGCTTCCCGCGGATGCAGGCATAAAAAAATCAGAAATGTTCCCTCACTCTCAAACGTGCCCAGCTCACTGTTGTTTTTCCAGTCTTCATTCTGGCTCTATGAAGAGGGATGATTTAGCTTTGTCTCCTTCAGATCATCTGTGTTGCTCAGAGATCTAAGGAACAATAGGAGCTAGTGTAGTGGCCACTATATCCAAATGTAGAGAGCAGAAACCATTGTCATCACCAGGTCTTTTAATCAATGAAAAACACAGGTCCCGTATTAAGTTTACATCTGTAAATCCTGGAGGTGGTGTTTTTGTAAATGTTATACAGATCAAACTGAACAATACCTGTTTTAAAAGAGTTTGTAAACCATGTCATCTTTGTAAATGAGTCAAATTACAGGTGTTTCCTGAGAACACAATTAAAATAATATTATTTCACAACACAAAGTAGACCTGGAGATAAAGAGACTAAAATTATCTTACACAGATATTTAATAACAGAAGAGCCTTACACTATGGTCCCCAAAATGTCCTAAAACACCACCCATCACACAAGTCCCTACTCAGTTCCCAACAAACTGGGAAAAATTCAGCCTGGCATTCCAGGACTCAGTGCTGAGACCTTAGTCTTCCTCTTCAGCCATACACCCCTGTGCGCCCCGCACACCACTTTAGAAACAAGACCGACCACTCCCTGTTTCACAAGTACAAGCTGCATTCTCTCTACCAAGCATGTAGTTCATGTTCATATAGCTGCTTCTGCGATGCCCTGACTCAAACTCCATTTCAGCCCTCCTTCAAATCACATCCAAAAAGCCACCATTTGCTTCAAGAACCCTTCCTCCCCCTCTTCAATTAAAAATGATCTTGTCCTCTTTGAAGCACCAGGGGTCTTTGTGGTACATATATATGTGTGTGTACACATATACGTGCATATGACATTTCTATCATGGTGATTTATGACTTTTGGCATGGTTATCTACTTTTCCAACTGAGTGTGTAAACCCTTTAGGATAAGTGACCATAGTTTACTTCTGAAATTGCCTTTTTATAACCACTACTCTGGCTAATAGAGTGCATGCCACAGAGGAATTCAATAAGCATTTACTGAATTACTATTTTGTTAATAATGTTAATTATAGAGTGATCTCCTATGGATGATCAACTATGAGCCAAGAATGATATTTACATATCATATCCCATTTAATATTCAAAATCCTGTGACTTAGAAAATCAAGAATTAAGGAGTTGTAAATTAGTTGTTACATAGCAATCAAGGTTACATAGCAAGTAGAATCTCCAACTCTTAACATAACAGCAGAATGCACTTTGAATCTGTCATACTCCAAACACGTACCCCAAGTCAACACTATATATAAGGGACAAAATGTAAAGAATATATTGCTTTTCACTTTTAGATAAATAAATTTGGAAAATTTGAAACCGAACCACTGATTGTGGTAGTGAGGAGAACTACTTTCCAAAATTAGTTTTAAGGATTACAAATGAGTTTGAAGGTTAAAATATATATACCACATAGAATCTTTATCACTACAGTCCAAGAAATGTAGAAGATGGGGAAAGAGACCATTTGAGGCATTTGTTTAGAAGAATGATTTATGAGTAAGCTGAACTTGAATATTGTAATGGAAAAGGCACAGGTTTGACATGGTGTAAAATTCTGGGTGTAATGTTTTTAGGCTTGGTCCTTGGCAAGTTAATTAACCTTTCTAAATCTCGGTTTTCCCAAAGGTAGACAATAACAGCTTTCATAGGTAATTCAAGTATTAGATAGGTATAGGGAATACAAGGGCTTCCCAGGTGGTGCTAGTGGTAAAGAACCCGCCTGCAAGTGCAGAAGACATTAACAGATGCAGGTTTGATCCCTGGGCCCAGAAGATGCCCTGGAGGAGAGCATGGCAATCCACTCCAGTATTCTTGCCTGGAGAATCCCATGGACAGAGGAGCCTGGCGGGCTACAGTTCATGGGGTCGCAGAGTAGGATACGACTGAAGAGACTTAGCACGCACGCACAGAGAATAAAATTCAACAGACGACAGGTATTGCTAACACTATTATTAGTAATATTGTTTTCATGAAGAGTGACTGGGCTAGGTCAGTGTTCTTGAGAGGAAGGGAAAGGCAGGGCTGCCATTACTGTTCCCAACCATTCACACGGAGAGAGTGACTCCTGGGAAGAGCAGAAGGGGAAACAGGCCAGCAGCACAGCCAGCCTCAAAAACCCAACACCGCCTTCTCTGCACACTGACTCCCAAATTCTCTCTTGTAACTAAAGAACTGAATATCAAAACATGGAAATCTAGCTGGATCATTCCTTTTAAAATCTTGTGAGGTATATTCCAGATCCTCACCCTGGCAGCCTTTCTTAGCTTCTTTCAGAGAAAGTGTTCTCTGGAACTAGGACAAGCAGTAGGCATTTGGCATTAGGTCGCAGAGGCATCAAACACCACACTCACTATTTTCATCTTCAGGTGCTTCTAGTTTATTATCTGATCCTTGGGGGCCTCAACTGTTAATTGAATATATCTCCTGGAAGGGCTGCTCTGAGAAGTGTATGTGGCCCTGACTATTCAGTGCCAAGCACAAAGTAGGCACTCAATAATGACTAATGAATTCCCTTTCCCTTTAATAGCTCCCCCTAAGTGGAGAATAATCAAGTTCTTTGCGCAAATATGCTAGCATCTCTAAATGGCACCTGCCAATGGGGATGGATACTTGGATCTGAAAAGTGCTATCTCATTTAAATGAGGAACAGAATGGTAATTACCAAGGGACAATTTACAGACATTACTGATTATGGTTGTACCCAAACCAGTGTCCTAACAGTGACAGGCTTTTCTCTTTAAAAAAAAAAAAAAAATTCTTGAAAAATCCCTGAGCCATTTAGTCTCTTGAAAAACATGTGCCTTGGAAACCCAACATCTGCAGAAAGCAAAAGGGCCTGAGAATCACCAACTAATTTTTTCTTTTACAGCTTTTCAAACAGAGGAAAGAAAATAAACATGACACTGTATTTGGACTTTCTGGCATAGTTTAGCAAATTACAATGGAAAAAAAACACACACTTTGTGGTGCAAGGTTTAACACTTTTCAAACCAGTAAACTTGAGCTGGATTTGAAGTCAACTATCACAGTACCTGTGATAAAGTTACTTTTAAGTTACCAAGAAGTTTCTTGACTTGTTTATGGAATTCCAATATAGGTGGGAACTTATAATTATTTTGTAAATTATTGACTCATTTCCCCTGAAATCAAAGAAACCATGAGTATCCAAACCTTAGATAAAAGAGATGTTCTTAACATTCATTACTGCAATTCAACCACTAAAAAAAAAGTACCTTTTCTTTCCCTCTTCATTTGTTATCTGTTGAGAGAGAAGGGAAGAAGCTACCACGGGAAGGGAACCTCCAACACTTTGACAATATTAAAGGAACCATATATTGTCTTCTTAAAAGACACCAATTCTCCTACCGATAACTTTGCACCACATTCACATAAGAAATTATTAAACGATTATTAGCTTAATAATTACATATGTATATGTGTGTGTATATATATTTATGTGTGTACATGGGTGTCCGTAGACACACACACACACAGAAACACACACACACACACAGTTCATAAACCCAAGAGACATTCTCAGAGAGGCTCCAGGGGAAAAGGACTTAAGCAGCCCAGGGAGTGGAACAGCCTTTAAATAAATCTAGCAATTCAAGCACAGCTCCCGCTTTTCAGCAAGCACTGCTTCTGGAGCCTCTTCATTTAAGGGTTCTCATATTCTTTTTTAGGGATTTGTTCCCTGATCAGCTTAGTGCCATTGGCTCTGCCTTCGAGAAAGAAAGCCGGGGGTAAACCGGTCATATGCGCCCCGACCGTGGAAGCAGGAGTCCCTTCCACAACCCAGCAATTGCTCCCCGTCTCCCTCTCGCCGGCCCCGCGGCCGCTCGCCTTCCAGTCGCCAGGTGAGAGGCGGCGGCCAGCAGAGCAAGGCCACAGAGTAGATGACCTCAAGATTCAACCCGCTAACTCACCTCCTCCCCAGCCCCGACTGCCACCCATCACCTCCTACAACCCCCTTCCCTCCCATCCCGCTTCGTGACACCCCACGGTGCAGCCACCGCGGGGTGCGGGGAGGCAGGGGCGGCAGCCGCGGAGAGCCGGGGGCTTCCTTCGCACCCACCCCCGACGCGCCCTAAAAGACTGTCCTCTGGGGAAGGGGCTGCCGGCAACTTGGAGGAACTTAGAAGGCAGAGGCTGAGGCGCCCGGACCTCGGCGGGGCCTCAAACCAGAAGGCGAGGGGCGGAAAAACGGGGTCGGGGCGAGGGCGACTGCCCCGGGCTTACCACGAGCACGGGGACCCCGGCGGCCAGAGAGTACAGGAGCACGGGAGGCACGGCGCTGCTGTCCTCCGGGCCCGGGTAGGGCTTGCGGTAGGCGCTGTCGTGGCAGAAGAAGCCCTGCACGTTCACGGTGAAAGTGTCCGTGTACTCGAAGTAGTACGCCAGCATCACCGTCCCTGCCATGATCACCATCTGGAAATAGAGCATGCTGCTGGTGAGCGCCGCGGGCCGCAGGGGCATGCACGCCCCCCGGGCCGGGCCGAGCCGAGCGTGCGGCGGACGGACCCCCTCCCGGGTCCGCCGAGGCAGCCACCCGGGGGCGCGGCGGCGGGGGCGGCAGGAGGACGAGGCGCGGGAGGCGGGATGGAGCTGCCGGAGGAAGAGGCGGAGGCAGGTCCGGGTTTCGAGGCGCCGGCGGGCTGCGGAGGCGGCGGCTACCCCCCGGACGAACCCCCGCTCCCCTCCCCGCCCCCTGCCCGCCGTTAGCGCCGCCCGCCCGGGCGCGGGGTCGCGCGGGAGGGCGGGGAGTCCCTGGCGGCTGGCAGCGGCCACGCAGGAGACGGTTCGCGATGCAGCCGCGCAGGACCGAAGCCCCCGGCCCGCCCGGCGGAGGGGCGGACCAGGCGGCGGCGGCGGCTGGGACAGCGGCACCTGTACCCCTCGGAGGGCAGACGCAGTGGAGCTGGAGAAGCTCCTCGCCGGGGTAAAAACCCAAAAGAGGGGGAGGGGAGGCAGCAGAGAAGGAGCTTCTAGAAACTCCCTTCTGAGGCAGCAGCTGGACGGTTTAGGAAACCCGCACAACGCCTGGGAAAACGGTGCGTGGATGCGTCTTCGGGGAGCCCCGCGAAGCGCAAAGTCCCGGTGCCGCGCAGCGACTTTCAGCCGGCACTCCCTGGGATTCCTTAACCCCGCGCAGGACACACGCCCAGCGCTGGCTTCTAGGCGCCGAGAGAGGCATCATCTCAGAGGATTTTAGATTCGGAGTTTTCTCTGCCTCCTCCTCCAGTTGCCTAGGGCTTTGTATGTAAAAACAGAAATCGAGCTCCGGAGTTCCGGAAGCATCATCTCTTGTACAACGGCCCCTTCCTCGCTCACGTATTCTCCTCTGGCTTATCATCTCAGTTTCCCTTTATTACATGCCTGTGAGACGAGGCATTGCACATTCCTAGGACCCAGCGGTGGCAGCCACTAGGGAAGGAAAAGCGGACCGTTTGCCTCACCTCGCTATTCCCTGAGTTCCCGGTATTGCTGCAATTCCCCAGGGGTCAAGTGAAAGGATCGGGAGACAGAGGGCTCACACGACAGGCATACAGAACCCTCCAATACACTGGCCATGCACGCGTGTGCGTGGGTATGTAAGTAGCAGTGCAACTGCATGTATGTAAAGAGCCCGTTCGTGTGCCATGTGTAACCCTGCCTGCAGGAGGAGGCAGCAGACTGAGGGCACTGGGGGTGGGGGAGCTTAGGGGAACCTGACACTGCTTACCTTCCCCTCCAGAGAGAAGCTAGGAAGCCTGTATGCCAGGCGAGGGGATGAAAATACTCCCGGAGCCCTGCTCTTCTCATTACAACGTGGAATCAATCTAGCAGATTTCTAGAATATTCATTTTAATTGGTTGTAGCTTGATGAATTTTAGAGGTGGGCCTTTATCATCAGTAAAGAAACATTTTTAGGCGAAAAAGCCCTTTTAAATTTGGCAAATGATAGTTTAGGATGAGATAATAAAGGCAGTGTGAATTTAATGTAGAATATTTTACCTTCTACGTTGTTAGACATCATTTAATAACTGATTACTTAGTACTTACCAGATAAACAACACTTAACAACCTGTATAATAAACAGTTTTGGGCACTGGGCATAAACTGTTCCTAAATGGACAAAAAAGACATCGTATTGTGAAAATGTAATTACTGCAGAGATGCATGGTCTCGTGCTACCTTTAGAAAATCATTCTAAGACTGTAAGAATGTCTGAACTGCAAATCTGGTTCTAAATAGGAATCCCCCAAGCCTTCCTATTTAATAGAATTTTTTTTGAAGAATGGTGCTAATTCTAAAAGGTAGATTTTAAATGTAACTTTAGATTAAGGAGAGTCTAATGTAGGTAATTTATTCAAATTAATGAAAACCTTCATTTTAACAAGTTAATTTAAATTCAAATTTAAAATGCATTGTAATGCCTTTTACACAGTGTCCTAGTGTATTGTGTGACTAGTGGGGAATCCGGTGGACACAGGAGCCGGGTGGGCTGTTGTCTGGTGGGTCGCAAAGAGTTGAACACAACTGAAGCGGCTTAGCAAGCTCGCACGTGTGCCTAGTACTATGCATAACAAGCAGTGCTGTTCACTGCTCTGTCCTCATCTCATCGTGAGCAGGGAAGGGTACATTGTACCATTCACAAAGGTATTTAATCTGAATAAATTAAGGACCTTACCCCTCTAAGCTTAAACAACAGGGAAGTGTTTTCACATATGAAATTGTTGTTAAGGTTAGAGAATCACCATCTTTATCTCCCTAGACAAACGTGGCCTGTATACTTATTTGCAACACAGGGCAACATAATAGCACCAGCTCAGGTCCTGCCTGGGTTCAAGTCATTCTACCACTTAACCAATTTGGGGAAACCCGGGAACATGCTGGACCTCTTCCTGCCTTAGTTTCATCACCGCTAAAATTGAGATGATACTGGTACTTACTTTACCAGGTTGATATGAGGATTATTGATGCTTATTATATCCGGCACATCGTGTTTAAATTCTATAAAACATACCCTAATCATACATGTTTCTAGCAGCCTTAACCCAGGCCACTCTAATACCCATCACCAGTCACTTCCTTCTCATTTTTTTGCTTGCAAAATGATTCTGGGTGTCTCCATATTTCTGTAGGAATATCTGCTTTTCTGTAGATCTGTGAACATTCCATATTCTGTTTCAGATGGTATCCATCTCAAGAATGAGCTTCAGAATTCTCAATATCCCCGTCATTTGTTCATGTTAGATGGTCAAATTGGTGTTGCTGACTGATTCATGGTTGACTTACCATCCAGTGCTGAAATTCAAAGTTAATATGTTCTAAAGATACCAACATAAAATTTCTATGAATATTTGAGCAAATTGGTTATACATAGAAATGGTGTGAGGTGGATGAAAGAGCATGAGCAGTGTGCCCTGGGACTGGTTCCTTTCCTTTCCTGAGCCTGAGGTTTCTTAGAGACAAAATGAACTAATTTGTCTTACCTCTGGGCTTATTTTGACAATTAAATGAGAATATGTAAAGTGCCTGGCCCAAAGAAGTACTTATTTAGGATGTTTCTTCATTTTATTTTCTTATGAATCATTTAAGCTAATTCTTTTCCAAAATACATATTTTAAATTTCAAAGAATCCTTTGGAACCCTGCCTTAATTATTAATTTAACTATCTGTTTCTAGATTAAAAACAGCACTATGCATATTTAATCTTTTGGAATCTTGACCAAATTCTTAATTTAATTCCTAGGTCTATTATTGTGCTTTCAAATGTATTGTAGCAGTCAGTCTTTCTTAACAAAAAACAAAATTCTCCCCATCTTAGCTCCCACCAAATTGGATAATATAGGTCAAAAGTGTGGTATTTAGAGCTCTCTTATTTTCCAACTTCCAGTGATTCATATTGTATTTGTTTGTGCGTGACTTAACAACCACTCGATCCCACCATGTTTCTCCACCTATAAAACCATGATAAATACTGGGACAGATCTTGGGGAAATTATTTATCAATTCCAGTACCTCTCATCCACTCACCACAATACTCATGCTCTAGTAGGAATTAGTAAGGTGCTAGACGGGCATAGGAAGATACAGTCCTTGTCTATATGGTTTGTAACTTTTCTTCTATAGACAAAAGACAGACATACAGAAAGTCAGGGTGGAGGTGGTCTTTAGATTGGCAGCAAGTGAAAAGACCATTTGAATAGTCCTTGGGAAGTCAAGTACTGAGTATTTGTGGGTAGCTAGATGAGTGAATGTATTCTTCTTAAGTTTTAGAACCTCAGGTGCCTAACAGAGGGGAATAGGAAATGGACCTGGCTCCTCAATATTATGACCAAGTGGGTTCTGTACATCGAATCTATGCATATCGAGAGTCAAGAGTGAGATTCCCTGCTCAGGTTCAAGGATTTGGACCTCATTAATTTATAGACAGAATGTTTGTTTAAAGTTAGGACCCGGCTTTACTTATTACTAGATTTTATTTATTGTTAGGTTTATATCACAGCTATTTCTTTTTTTTTTCAACTTTTTATTTTGCATTGGAGTATAGCCGATTAACAATGTCGTAATGATTTCAGGTAGACAGCAAATGGACTCAGCCATACTTATGAATGTAACCATTCTCCCCCAAAGGGATTCTTCCCTGGTAGCCCTGTTGGTAAAGAATCTTCCTGCAGTGCAGGGGACCCAGGTTAAATCCCTGGGTCATGAAGATTCCCTGGAGAAGAGAATGCAAGCCACTCCAGTATTCCTGCCTGGAAAATCCCATGGACAGAGGAGACTGGTGGGCTACAGTCTGTGTGATCGCAAGAGTCGGACACAACTTAAGCGACTAAACCACCACATTCTCCCCCAAACTCCCCTCCCATCCAGGCTGTCACATAATATTGAGCAGAGTTCCATGTGCTATACAGTAGGTTCTTGTTCCATTTTAAATATAGCAGTGTGTACATGTCTGTCTTAAACTAAGACTTAGAGAACAGACTTATGGTTCTTGGGAGAAAGGATGGGGAAAAGGGAAGGGGGTAGTTAGGGAGTTTGGGATAGACAGAATGTTTTTGGCAGAGATGCCTGAGTATTTCCAAAGACCAAAAAAGATGCAGAATTATAAACATTGTTTTCCTAGTGTTTAAGGTAACTCAGAGGTAAACCCAGGCATTTTCCAGATGTTTTCTCACTCCATGTACAACCGGAGATAAATAACATTGCAATGTCAATGCATAGCGGAGATGATGAGGTATGAAGAGTTCAGAAGGCTTTACATAAATTAGGGAAGCTCTCAAAAAAAAAATAGAGTCCTTCTTTAAAAACTTCAAAAATCTGTGTTCACAGTGCTTAACCTGTGCTAGAGGTGTTTAAGGAGATTCGCACATGTGACAAGTCACATGACTTTGCACTAGTGAGGAACTTTGACTATTAACATATGTATTAGTAGAAGATCT